CACACACACACACTCTCACACTCTCACACACTCCCCCTGGTGGCCGGCTGCAGTAAAGGTCAGAAGCCCTCCTCCTCCATGTTAGCGGATGGTTTTGTCATTTGATCAACTTATTAACACTGATGCCACTTATTAAAAATAACATTAATAAAATCACTGTTAGAATATTAAATATCTCGGAGTTCTATGAATGGAATTAAAATGTTGTCCTCTGTGCGTCCAGCCTCCAGCAGCTCGACTCGTGATTGGCCGCTGTCGACTCTGGGCTGCTCGTCTCAGAGCTCCGTCGCTCAGACTTCGGCTGCAGCACCGAGAACCTCGGAGCCTGCAGACAACCAGCAGGGCGACCTGTAGGAGGCGCCACAGAGTCTGTACTGTTTCACGTATGTAAAGAACTTCTGTAGGGAGGGCGCCACCTGCTGGAGGTAACGGGCTTTATTTTATTGAGCTCGTGCTTGTTGTGGAAACAAACATTTAGTTTTTTAACTTCTGTGATCGGCCACTTTGAATATTGTGTAAAATAATAATAATAACTTGTAATTGAATAAACGTCACGTTGAGGATTTTTAATCATGAGTGAAACATAGAAGTTAAAGTTCAAGTTGCCAGAACACGTTTTCACCAAAATCTACAAAATGTGTTTGATCATCTTCATTCTGTTCATGTTTGAAACGGTTCCTGTGTCGGACCGAAGCAGACTCACTGATGTGTGAAACGTTGTGTTGTTGTTCATTTATTGTTCTCTTGGACTGTCATGTGACAGGAGGCCAGTAAACCTGGATGTTGCGTAACGAAAGGAAACACAACATGGGCTAAGACGTGTACTTCCTGTTCGCAGAAGCACCAGCGAGGTCACAGGAGAGAGAGTGAGGCTGAGAGCAGAGGGAGGAAGGAATGAAGAGTTTCCTGTCGTTGAAGAATTCACTTTTAAGTTGAGTCTATTTCTGTGGCGTCAGTATTTGATTTTTAGTGGTGAGAATTCTAAAGGACACTTTTCTATGATCAGGTTTTATTTTTCTACAGATTGAAATATTCTACTTTCGCTTCCTCAGACGAGAAGTAAAATAGAAAAACTCAAGTAAAGTGTTTTTAATTCACTCGGAGGGAGTCAATGAGAAGGCTTCAGAACGATGTGGTGACAAAAATCGTTAAAAATTGTTTTTTATTTCTTATAATTTGTGAATAAATAATATTAACAACCTGAAACTGTTCAGCAGCAGAATATTATTTTATAGTTTCACTGTTCGTATCTGCAGCTCTTTATCTCATAGTTGTCGAGTCACATTAGGACGAGATGACAAACGAGGAGCAGCTGACACCACAACCACATCCTTCCTCAACCTTCACCAGCGCACATGAGTAAAACCACAAGTCTTTGTGCCTCTCAACCGACATTTAGCTCTTCCAGTAAAACCACCCGACGCCACAGGAAGTCGATCATACGTTGTTTTATTAAACATATAAATACAAACGTCAGCAGAAGAAATGAACTCGAGAGAAATCTCTATAAAACAGTCGTGGATACATCAGAGGGGGTTTCTGAGAAACATCGAGTGACAAGAACAAAGTCTGAAGTGTCTCCGAGATCTTTGTAAAATCCTCAGGATGTTTGAGACACGTGAGCGGAGTCAAGATTCCAGCAGGAGGAAGCGTGTCCGGTCTCCAGCGTCGTCACGTCACTGACAACAAACACGTCAGGACGCTCGTTCAACACGCTTGACTGAAAGGAAGCTCCTGCCCTCAGGTCACAGATCACGGACGAGATGTTAAAGTTCCTCGTGTTTTTCAGAATCGTGATCGTCGTCTGCAGCCACTCACCAGATTTGCTGCAAAAATCTGCCGATCGCCAGAAAAATGAATTCTCGATAATCGTTTCCATCCAAACATCTGATGGTTACGTCTGTAAAATGTGAGAAGATCTGAGTGAACTTTCTGTTCTCGACTCTTTTACAAAACAAGACGAATCGAGAAACGGGCCGATTTAAAAAAACACGTTTGTCCGTTTAAAGAATTCTGAGGAGGAGGGACGTCAACATGTGACGTCACCTCTGTTCTTCAACGTTTCTCTGTGACGTGAGGAACCGAAACCAAACCTCGAGATTAATTCAGCTCGAACGAGAACAAGAGAAATTCACAAAAAAACTAAATGAACCCAGAAAAGTAAAACACGTCTCACAGCTGGATTTTCATTTCTGCGTCACATGAAAAAATATGACGTCATCATGTGCTGGAGTCAGACGTCACAGCTCATCCAGCCGGAGATCAAACACAGGAGAAGGTGGATTGTCTGTGAGAGTGAGAAAGAAATCTTCTGAATCTCCTCGACAACAACTCGTCTGACTTTGTCGTGAGGAGACGTTTGGTTTTTCACAATTAAAACTTGACTCTAATCTACAGGTGATGTTTTTATCTACGTTCATTATAAAAGGGAGGAAGAGTCTGAGGTCGTTCTGTGGATCTGAACGATCATTCGGGGCTGAGTCAGGTCTGAGCAGACGTCCGACCCTTCAGTTCAGTTTGAACTCGTCCCAACGCTCTGATCCCGTCTGTCAACACATTCAGAGCACACGTGGGGCCCCTCCCCTTCAGACAGAGGTAGGAGTGGTTGAGCGTCTGAAGAGGTCGTGTGGAAAATCACTGAGCTGCACAGACAGAAACACGGCGGACGCTCGTCCACGTTGTCTCAGGCAGGTGAACGTGTGTTTGGTCTCGTGATGAATCATCACCTGCGTCTCTCGTTCTCCAACTGAGATCACTCACTGAACCAGGAGAATCAAAAACCTCAGTCACCAGCAGCTCCACAAAAAATAAGACTAATTATTGCGCGTTTTGTCCTTTTTACCAAATTCGTCCATCACACGGACACGCTGTCATTCGTCCCATGAGCCCGTGGCTTCAATGATGAGTCTTAATGTTTGTCAGGGACCTGCTGGTCGACGTGGACACGATGAAGACGCAGAGGAGACGATCTGTTCGTCTTCAGTTTCCTCAGAAGGAGAAGAAGCAGGATCGTCTTTTTGCTCAACGGGCTCTTCCACTCATTCCACACATGAACCCCCCCCCACCCCCACCCCCACCCCACCCCCCCAAAAAACAGAATGTTTTGTCTCCACGTGAACCCGCCTGTCCGTCCTGCCCCCCCTCATCTCTGACCATGGAGCGCAGATACAACAGGGGGCTGCTGGGAGCCGCTGGGCTGAGACACCGGGGGCCACATGGGAGTCTGTTGCATGTGGTAGTGGTGGTAGTGCACGTGGTGGCCGGTGGGCGACGAGGGCGGCAGCCAGGCCGGCTGGTGGCCGGGTGGCGACGAAGCCCAGAAGGAGCCAAACCCCGCCGTGGAAGAGGGGACCGGGGGGGAGCAGGTCATGGACGCCTGGGAGGGGCCGCTGCCGACGCCGGAGCCGCACTCAGACGCTCGCAGTTTGGAGAACATGGTGATGGCGTCGGGGAAGTTTGGCGGCGTGGCGGGGGTGTTTCTGGGCGTACACATCTGAAGGAAACAGCAGAAAGATTCATCAGTTAGAGACGAGACGCTGAAACTCGTCTGGATCTAAAGAAACGAACCTGGAGGCTCGAGGTCAAAACTGAGGTCGTTCATCACAGATCAAAGTTTATTCACTTTGATCTGTGACGATAAAAACTACTTGAACATCACTTTGTTCATAATGACATCACAGTCAAACGTGACAGCTGTGGGCGTGTCTTCTCAAAGTTGTTGTTGTTCCTTCGTATCTTTGATTCTTATTGTTTATAAACGTTCTTCTGAACATTTGTTTTCTGTTGTGCTGCTCTGTAAACATTTATCATTCCTAACATGTTGTTATCAAACAAACATGTTTGACCTGAACCGTTTAGAAGAAACTATAAAAACAAAACAACCAAATATAAACAAAACACACACACACACACACACACACACA